GAAAAATACAGTATATTTTAATAGAAAAAACCATGTTTGATTGTTCCGTTGAATTTATTTCTCTTTTCAACAAACACACTATAACCCTACACAGCAATTAAAAATTAAATATGTCTGTGTCACTGTGAAACCTTCGAAATGTAAAAACAAACAAACAACAAATAATAATGTGAGAAAAACAGTTCCAGCTGTTATTATTTTGTTGATTGGCAAATAGCTACGATGACAAAATACTATAAATGGACAAATAAACAAAACTATTGTTTAAAATTAGGCCCTACTTATAAAAAGATAATCATATCATCTGCTTTGAAGCTGCACTAGATAATGCACAAAATATGGACATAGTTGCTTTCTCTGGTGCTCCCTATAGCAGGGGTTCTCAAACTTTTTGGGTCTGGGGACCCCCTTAAAGGCAAAAAGATTCCAGGGACCCCCTTAATATACCCCATGCTGTTAATGCAAAATAATTTACTGTTATTTTAACCTCTAAATGCCATGGTAATAATATTTTGTTTGGTTTAGTATGTTTGTTTTACTAGTGCATTATATGCATTTTTTGAAATACAAAACAAATGAACAATTTCTTGAAATTTTTTGAGGACCCCCCAAGAAATGACTCACGGACCCCTGGGAGTCCTGGGACCCCAGTTGGAGAACCTCTGCTCTATAGAAAGAATCATACAATAAGCCAACAACACAGTGTTATTTTATAAAATATGAATACGAAAAATGAATATGTGCTACAGCACGCCATGAGCTATCTAGCCTGCATAGAGCTATGATTTCCAAGTAGTCGTACTAGCCTTACTTTGTGCTCTATTAGGTGGTGTGCAGTGTCAAAGGTCAGTCCAGCTCAAATTCTGTTTTTAACACAATTTTTTTTTTTATCTCTGTGGCTCATGCTCAACATGAATTAAAAAACAGATATTTTATTGTTATTCATTGCAGCTTCACAAAATTCTGCAGGCAACTCTTTGGACAGCGAAGTAGCAACGTGGGGGCTTGTGAGCACTTTCTAATTTCAGAAATCTAAAAATGTAATTTTGAGTTTTTGACTACGTGAGATATCTGCAATTACGGATGTTTGACCCTTCAAATGATGAGTTCATTGACGTCATTTTTAGATATCTTGAATTACACTGTGACTAGTCAAAATTCCTTTTAAGACATCTTCAGTTGGATTTACTGTTTGACTAGTCAGAATGTTAATACAGATATCTTAAATTACCATTCAGGACTGTCAAAATGTAGTTGTTCCTAGTCCAAACTCATTTTTATATATCTAGAATGTACAGATAGTCAGACGAAACCAACTTTATGCTAAAATGGTTTGCCAAAGTCTTTTACATTTAGTTTACTGATAGTTGTAACGTAATGCGTCAAAAATAATCAAACACACCAAATAGATATTCAGGTAYAACATCTGCGCCGAAATTTCTATGCTCCCAGATATCTATGTGTCAGTTGTCGTGGCCGAGTGGTTAAGGCGATGGACTAGAAATCCATTGGGGTCTCCCCGCGCAGGTTCGAATCCTGCCGACAACGAATTCTTTTCAGAATTATTAACTTTTAAGTGTCTCTTACACGTTTAGTAACTTCTGCACATTTACCATACACAAACGTTTACAGTGCATGGTTACATTCGTTATTTATGGGGTTTTTGCACGTTCGCATGGACATACGTATGTTCAACTACAGGCTTAGCAAGGATATTATGGCAAGCCCTTTTAGCATAAAATCGGATTCACGACACTTCAATTCCAGATATCTGAAATTGAATTATGACTAGTCATATTTGTTATTTAAGATATCTCTGATTATATTTTGATTAGTCAAAATACCTATTTGAGATATCTTTAATTGCATATTGACTAGTATAAATGACGTCAGATTTACCATTGAAGTCTGTGGAGGCTTCAATTCAAGATATGGAATAGAAGAWAAGGAATTTTGACTAGTCAAAAATTGACTAGTCATAACCATTGACTAGTCATAATTCCAATTAAATATATCTTAAACGACATCATTATTTAAGATATCTTAAATGTACCTTTAGATATCACAAATAAAGATTTGACTAGTTCAAATTCARTTACAGATATCTTSAAATCAAATTATGACTAGTCAAAACTAAATTACAGATATCTACAACTGTAATTATGACTAGTCAAAATTCCTTTTAAGACATCTTCAGTTGGATTTACTGTTTGACTAGTCAGAATGTTAATACAGATATCTTAAATTACCATTCAGGATAGTCAAAATGTAGTTATTCCTAGTCAAAACTCATTTTTAGATATCTAGAATGTAATTACAGAAA